TAATTAACCAGACCCTAGGTCAGGATTGCTTGTCTGTAGCCACATCTGTTGTCGACAACTTTGAAAGAGCAAAAACACGCTCAAAACTCTGCCCTTTTCCCTAGGTGGGGACTGGCTCACATCTGTGGGCCCCACACCAAGACTGCAAAAACTGTCTGAACCAGAGCCATTCTCAGCAGGGGACAAAATAAAAGAAGAAAGTAGTTGCTGGTTGCATGTAAATCTGCTGAGCCTGTAGAATGCCCAGTGGCCCGCAAAGATGCCTAGAAGCCTACAGGAGCAGGGGTCAGCCTAGGCAAGCCGCTTGCTGCTTCTAGTTATGATCTTAGAAATGAACTTTCATGGTCACCCTTGCTTTCTCCAGCTCAATGCCGGGTCAGCAGAGTTTGGCATGCCAAGACATTTCGACCTTCAAGAACTATCTTTGTTTAGTCTGCTCTCAACAAAACATAAAGGGGACTTTTATCAAGTTGGAGGTTGGAGACACAAGGACTTATACTATCTTATGTCCCCTCCAGAGAGTCCGCACTAAGCAATCTCCTCAGAATGGCCTCTGGGATAAAATGTAAATACCGAGATGAACCATCTGAATCAGCCATGCACTGGGAGTGGCTGGCAACAAGGCCACGTTCCCCGTCAACGGCTCTCATCTCCTTTTTACTGTCTCTCCACATTTGGGTTGATCTAGGTTCTGTCCTACTGAACACATCTGGTCTCGTTCCTTTTTTTTCTAACCAAACCACCTTCCAGTTCTTTTGTTCCATGGGTTTCTACTTCCTCTCCCGTCCCTTCCACGTCTTTAGCCTCCTTTTAAGCCCACGTTCTGTCCATTTCTGCAGCTCTTTTCCTCTCACCCGTTACCCTCTTTAGCTTTAACTGTCAGCTTGACCCATCCTGGACTCACCCGAGCATCTCAGCTGAGGGAGGGCCCGGAGCAGATTAGCTGTGAGCTTGTCTGTAGAGGAGTGTCTTGATTTTTAATTGATGTAGAAGGTCCCTTCCTACTATGGGCAGCACTGTTCCCTAGTCTTGTAGTCCTGGGCTATAAGACAGCTAGCTAAGTGGAAGGAAGCTAGAAGCAAGCCAGCAAGCACCATTCTTCCAAGGTTTCTGCCTTCAAGTTCCCACTTGAGTTCCTACCCTGACTTCCCTCGATGACAGTCTATAGCTAGAAAGTGTAAGATAAGCGAATTCTTTCTTCCCAAGAGTTGCTTTTGGTCAACAGAAAGCAAGCTGGAACGCTATCATTGCCACAACTGGCCTGAGTCACTCAAACTGCCCCTCCCCCGAAAGAACCCTCAGCATGTCCTTGCCTGGGAAAGACTCACAGAAATGGATAGCCAGGAAATCTCAGAAAAGATCCTGCTGGGAGGGGGGTGGGGGGCACACCGACTACAGGCTGGTGAGTACACCTGGGGTTGGTAGGTCTCCACCCGCTCTCACTTCCAGTGGGCTCGCACTTGTCAGGCAAGCTGCCCAGTTTCTCAGCCCTAAAACTGTTAGATCCTGGAGTTACACAAGTTGCCTGAAATGTATCTGGTCAAAGGCCCTTCCAAAGGGTTCTCTACCCAAACAAAAGCTTTTTGAGGTCCTCTGTAACCAGAGGAAAGCTGAGCTTCAACTCGAGAGACATTTTCAAGTCTACAAACCTCAACCTAACGACTCGTTGTTTCAGGGATTAATTTCTCCCATTCCTGCAGCGGGTCCTTCCATCAGTGCATGGTGGAACATTGCACCCGGAACAGAACACCGCGCTTGTGTCTAAGAATTACTGCTCTTTTTAAAATAGTGCTAGCCCCAACCGGGCAAGCTTTGCCTCACAGTTGACTCCTGTCCTACTGAGCCTGTAACTACTCAAGTCCCTTGCATCTTCTGTTCTGTTGCTTCTAGAATAAGCAGGTCACCTGAGTCCTGACTATGCATACTTGAGTATGTGTACCCAGGTAAGAAGATCAACTGTGGCCTCCTGGGCTCTGTTTGAGTCAAATAAGCTTCTCCGGCCTGGAAACCTAAGCACAGAATTAGTGTTTTCATGAAAGAAAAAAAAAAGGTTTCCAGGTCCCAAATAAATAACTCTCAGTGTGTATTGGAGGGCATCCCGTTTGTAAACCTGGGGCCATTGATGCCTCGTTGGCATGAACTCATGCCCAGGGCTAGCAAATGTCCCTAGTGGTTTCTAAAAGTGCCTTTGCAGCAGGCTGCTAGCGTGCCAAGGCCTTGGGCACAGCTGCTGGCCTCTGTTCTCTTCCTGTGAGGGTACAGCAAGAGAAAGCCTGAGGAAAGTGTGCCGCCTGCTTGCCCTAGGGACCCACAACCAAGAAAGCGGACAGGAGGCCACTAGCATCGCCCAGCTCTGGGGGCCTTCTCATAGCCAAACTTCTACTTCCTCTTCAGACCACACCAGGGACTCACCAGGGAGGAACTTGGGGACTGTCAGGCCACCTGAGCTTCGGGCCCATAAAGCTTTATAGGTCCGATGGCTATAAGTTGCAGCTCCCTCGCAGGTCCTACGCTAGTGACTTCCAGATGTGCAAGGGAACAGCAGGCTCTGAAAGCTGCCTCAGTACCACATTGAGTCGGAGAAGCAGGATCATTATCCCTGGTCTTTTTGATGACTTAACCACATTAGCAGGAATTATAGTGCCTGGCCAAGCTTTTCTGTGGTGCAATCAGATGTGTGGATGTTTGGATGTTTGGATGGATGGATGGATAAATGGATGGATGGATGGATGGTAGATGTTTGGATGGATGGAGGATGGATGGATGGATGGATGGATGGATGGATGGATGGGCTGATGTGTGGATGTTGGGATGGATGGATGGATGGATGGATGGATGGATGGTAGATGTTTGGATGGATGGAGGATGGATGGATGGATGGATGGATGGATGGATGGATGGATGGACTGATGTGTGGATGTTTGGATGGATGGATGGATGGATGGATGGATGGATGGATGGATGGATGGATATATAAAGAAAGATTAAAACTCAGTTTCAGGAGCCTACTGACCTGGGCTCAAAGTTCAACCAAGGCAATTTTGTGTGTAAGGGTGTGTGTGTGTGTGTGTGTGTGTTCCAGTTTTCTCATGTCAAAATGGGGTCATAGGTGTACCTAATTCGGTTTAATGTTAATTACTACTTTCAAAGTAGTTCTGACTGCCATTGAGCGAGCTCTGGGTAAACATAGGTGGTTCCTGGGTGTTCTTCCTACTGGAATTCACTCAGAAGAGAATACTTCCCTTAGATCTAGCTCTGTGGGATGGCCAAACAAATACTGTCATAAGAATAATTCCCATTTTGTGGAGAGCCTTCCACTCTTCAGAGGGACTGTGTGCTTTGTTGAGAGCCTTCCACTCTTCAGAGGGACTCCTCTGAGTCTTCCCTGTGGGAGTCAGGCCAGGATAATTCCTCATGACGTCACAGGAGAAGACTGCAGATGAACTGTGGACACGGTGAGTGAGGCATGCCTTGTCTGTTCTTGGCAGCCTCTGAGGGATGGTCTTCTGACTTCTTTCTTCCAGGGCCATCCTGTCCCTTTCTGACACCTGAACACAAATGTCCTTTAACACATTTACTTCTCACTACCGCCAAGTCCAAAGCACACCAAGTCTCAGCTGTCCAAATATTTGTCAAGCCCTGGCTATTAAATGAATGAGAATTTTGTTCAGATTTGTCCCAGGCGAGACAAGAGTGGCATTGATGGACAGGCTTTAGGGACAAAATTAAGAACCTGGGATCACAAAAGCCATAATGTGTTCAGAATTCTAGCCCTCATGCTGAGGGAAATTTTAAATACTTAATATAAAATAGCATTGTAAGAACTTTGGGGGAAAACGAGAGAAGCGACCAGTATCTTTTCAGAAAGGAAAATAGCGCAGTGCTGATTTTCACCAGCAGGTGGCACTAGAGGGATAAGGGTAGAGTAACAATATTTAAAGATAGTTTTGAAGGTCTTGGTGGTGGCAACAACCCCACCCAACCTAGTCAAAGCTCGGAGAGGGTGCTTTTGACTCACTCAGAACCAGTGATGCCCGCACCAGGTTAACCTAGGTCTTACCCTTCAAGGACGTTCATAGAAGTTTAACATTTTTAAAAACTCCCTGGCCTCGTTACATGAAGAAAAAGATACTAAGTCATACTTGAGTGACTTAGTAGTTCCAACCTCAGCAGAAGAGACAGCCTTTAGGGGACAAAAACTGCTCGCGCCCTCGAGACCTCTGGGAAGGGCATGAGGCTGGGGCAGGGGGCTGATAGATAGAGAAATAAGCCATTTTTGTGTTGTGAGGCTTCCCAACATGCTTGCACTGTCTCTGAGCCCCTCCTGACCTTCCAGATTTCCCAAATAAGAACAGAGTGTATTGGATGAAAATCCCCCCTCTCCACCACCCTTTCTATTTCACAGCATGTTCATGCCCTAGAACCCAAGCACCATGCTTCATTGCTCTGAGGCATGAAAGGAGAGGAAACTCAGAAACTGGCGGAGGAGGCCAGTTTGGAATATAAGCCAAGCAGGCGGAATGGGTGTAATTTAGATGGTATTGGGTGTATATTGGGTGGTTAATAATTATGGGTGGATCGGTGCGTGGAAAGATGGACAGACGACTGGAACAGTGGGGAAAATTTTTAACTCAAAATACTTCAGACGCCTAACAAGGAAAGCAATTCCACGTTCTCGGTATATCTAGAAGTATCAAAGCACCAACCGGCCACTAACGCAGCAGGGACTCTACAGAAGTATGTTGGGCTGTTTTTGACTGGATGAGCTTTTTGGGAGTCGGGGATTCCTTTTAGTTCTGTGTCCCTTGGTGAAGAGGGAACGAAGCTCCGTGTAGAAGGAACATCACTAGGATTTCATACTGCTTCCTCCAAAATCCTGATCCCGTCTTCCACCGCTGGACTCTCAGCCTGGGAGACCGGGAAGCAACACCCCTGCACTTCCCTTCAGACCGTATCCTGGATCAGTTTTAGTAACTTTATTTCTTTTTCTGGAAATTCAGGGGAGACAGACCTGTGGAAGCCTGGACCAGTCCTTTTAGATTCAGGTAAGTATCCATTTGGTCTCTCGAGCCCGTCCAGACGGAGATGCCCAGCCCTGGAGAACGAGGATGGCCTAACAGTCCAGCTGGTGGCTCAGGCGGCCTGGCTGTTTAAAAGCTTCCTCCTGGGACCTTCAGGTCCTAGTCTGGGCCCATTCAGACTTTCCAAGGGATGTGCAGGGCGATACTGGTTCTTCAAAAGGGAGAGAGGAAACAGGAAGGCAAAGGCTGGCAGAAATGAGTTCCCAGTGAGATGGGCTTAGACCCTCATTTCTTGCGGCAGCGTGCAAAGTTGTTCCCTAATTCAGTCCCCTTTGAAAGTGGTATTCAGGAGGGCTGCATGGTGGTGGTGCACACCTTCAGTCCCAGTGCTCAGGAGACTGAGGCAGGTGAATCTCTTGTGAGTCTGACGCCAGGATGGTCTACATAGTGATCTCCAGACCAGCCAAGGCTCCATAGTAGGACCCTATCTACAAAACAAACAAACAAACAAGAAAGTTAGAAGAAAATGGTTTGAGGTTTTTCATTCTCATCAGTGGATATGTGTGTGTGTGTGTGTGTGTGTGTGTGTGTGTGTGTGTTTGTTTACCACATTAAATGCCTGACCCTCTAACAAAGTGTTCCTGTTCTTGGGAGGAAGCAAGATTTTACTGGCAAGGGGAGACAGGGATAGGAAGGTCAAGCCTCTGAACTTGCTCCCCCTCCACCCCCCACACAATGTAGAGCTTTGAGATGTGTCCCTGGGAGGCTTCTGGCTGAGAAACACTGTAGAGCACCAGAAACGAACTTTCCAATAATGTGAGGAAGTGGGGCAAGCTGGCTGACCTTTGGGGGCAGATGAAGTCATGTGCTTTGCAAACTGGAAAAAAAAAAGGAGGAGGAGGATGCTCACTACAGCAACAAAAGCAAAGAGGACAGAACCTCACACCTGCCTCCACTGCCAGAAATTTCCAGAACTGCCAGGCATGCTGAAAACAGGGAGACGTGCTTCCTGCACGTATTCACTGCCTCTGAGCATCCCAGTGGTCGCAGCCGTCCCAACAGAACGCGCACTGACTGTGTCTGTGGCTTATCATCACGCTCTGCATCCATAGCCCTCACCAAACAACACCCCCACCCCCGCCCAGCTGAAGCCCCACGTCCACACGGCCTTTCCAAGCATCCTGTACCTCTGTCCCTAGCCTCAGAGTCCTGGGGGCGAGACCCTGTCTGCCCTGCTCTTCTGTCCGAGCTGTGTTCCACTCTGGCACACACACAACCTTCTCTAGATGGCCCTGTGCGTGTCTAACTCACCTCTGCTCAGTGCCTGTATCACCAACATTTGGTCAAGGACCTACGTGAGCTGAGCATAGTAGGGGTCTGAACAAGTCAGACTCATTTCCTGACCTCCACAGTTTCAGAATTCTAGAGATAATAATGTACCCCGGCGTGCCTGTAATGATTTTGCATAAATAAACGATAGAACGAGTTCAAACGAGAGCAGATCAAGGTCCTCCGAGCATCCAACAGAGTACTCTTGGGCATGCTGTCAGGGCTTACTTTTCTCAGGATGGGGCCAGGAGGGAAAAGAGGTTGCTATGAGCCAAGCCGGCTATGAATGTCCACTCTGTCCTTTTCTCTGGGGTAAGGCCAGGTGTTCCTATGCTTGGAAGTCACAACAACTTTAACTTCTCTTTCCAGGATCTGTGCCCGAAGAAGAGTTCAGCACACAGTCTTCGGAGCTAGTGCCCCAGGGAGATCCAAGTGAGTTAGCTGGCAGCTAGAAAGCCGGGGATGGTTTTAGCATCTGATGAGTGCTCTCTCCCGTACCTACTCCCTTCCATTGGGACCGACTTCTCTCCTACCACAGAGCTATTTCTCCCCTATCTTCTGTCGCTGTTCTAAAGAGAATGGAGAGCTTCTGAAGGATTTAAAGTATCTGTATGCGGGGGGGGGGGGGGGGGGGGGGGGGGGGGGGAGGGGGGGGGGGGGGGGGGGGGGGGGGGGGGGGGGGGGGGGGGGGGGAGGAGGATTGAGTCCTTTTTAACGTTACTATGGCAACAGGGTGAAGAATGGGAAGGGATGGGGGAGCGAGGCGGATGAAAAGAATTGCCAGGCTGGTCGGCAGGGGCTAGAACCAGAAATGAGAGAAATAGGCAGATACAAGAAATATAGAAAAGGAAGAATCCATAGGATTGGAGTGGGGTAAGACAGTTAAACATGACATCCGCAGGACTCGAGGGCTGGAGCAGGGTAAGACAGTTAGAAATGGCATCCGCAGGCAACTTAGCTGGTAAAGGCGCCTTCTGCTAAGCCTAATGTCCTGGACTCTAGCCACGGTGGAAAGAAAAAGGCAACTCCCAACAGTTGTGTGTGTGTGCTCTCCTCCCCCTGCCCCCCTACACTAAATAAACACATAGATGTCATTTAAATTTTTTAAAAGAAACTTGTGCAACTGGGTAGATGGAACTGTGCTGAAGAATGCAGGATGAAGCAGGCTTGGGGACAGGAGACTGTCTATGTCTGTCATTTGCTACGAGAAATTCAGTCCAACAGCAAGATCTGAGGCTTGGATGGGAGGGGACAGCCCAGTCAGAGGTTCAGAGTTGGAGACAAGGTGACAGTGTGTGTCATTCTTTATCACGTTGTAAAGAAAGGGAACGTTAAGTGGATATGAAAACGCTCCAGAATTTAAAAAAGAAAAAGTTCAGAGTTGGGAGATTAACTGTGGCTCAAAGCACAGACGACACTGTGGAGCAATGAATGTGGTGTGGATGAACTAGAGAAAGAAATAGAGGACCCAGATATGATGAGCGACACTAGGCAGGGGAGAAGACACCCAGGAATACCACAAAGGAGGGGGCTAGGGAATCACAGGGAGGGTCCCATCTTCCAACATAGCCAAAGAAAGCCCTTGTAAATCCCCTTCAGTGGTTGCACAGCGTCTGTCCCAACTCTGCTGTAAGAAGTGCCCGTGGTGTGTTCTAGACTAACCATGCCCATCTCTTGCCCACTACCTAGTGCACCAGTCTTGCTACTGCAGTAAGGTCAGAGGACCAAGAGCATCAGCAAGTTGCCCTGGGAACTTGGAACAAATGCAGAGGCAGAGCCCACACCCCAAACCTACTGAGTCCAGAGCCAAAGCTACTTGTGGCCCTTGAGAGTGGCTCGCAGATATTTTGTGGGAACTGCATAGGCACCCGTGACCTGTGAGTGGCTCTGATATTATCCACTACATCTGACCTTCCTCCCTCACCCTGAACCTTCCCTGTGACCATGGATAAGACACTAATGCTGAGTACCCATTAGTGCTGACGTCATCTTCACATCCGCAGCTGTCATTTCTGCAGAAGAAGCCCGCTGGGTCTTATCCTGTATATTCCTTGAGGAAGAAAAGTAGCCATTAAAACATCCTGTGAGTTTGGAGGCAGGGGCTTTTGCTTCAGTAATAGAGTGATTGTCTAGGATGTATGGTAAGACCTTGTGTTTGGTCCCAGAGAGGATTAAATAATTTTTTTAAAAAAATCCTGGGAGACCTAACATAGATCAGCCGTCAGCAATCAGGCCAGAGGTCCAAGAGAACGAACCAGACCAACTGCTTGCTGTAAAAATGAACACGTTGTTCCTGAACATAATTCAAGATGTAAGAAATGAGTAAGAACTGTCCTTAAGGAACCAAAACAGATGCTACCAAATCCGTGTCCTGTTTTCGTTGAAAATAAGTGAACCGGGGAAACCCCGTTATTTCTCCCTAGAATCGGTTTCCCTCTATCTTAAAAGGCGACGTTGAACTAATCTGATGGTGTTTTGAAAGAAAACCTTTATTCTGAGTGCTTCTCAAACTCGAGGGTCCTCTTTAAAGGCAAAACGGATTCTGTACCTCTGAGTGGATCCCAGGAGTCCTTCCATGTTTCCCGAAAACTGTGTTAGTGGGCCGAAAATCCTGAAGAACATTACTGCCACCTGCTGGCAATAATTCACATTGCAAGGCAAGACCTAGAAAAACACCCGTTGGCCATTTGGGAGTGACATTATAGCACTGTGTTTAGCAGACTCTTTAAACCACATTTGGTTGGATTGCTTTGTTTCCTTCTATCTTTATCTCAGGGTTTCGCTTAGAATATAGGCAACTTGGGAGCAAGCCAGCTGGACAGGGAAGACTAGAAAGCACTTGGGGCAAAAGGCTGTGAGATTTGCTGCACAGAAAGATGGGGCAGAGGGAGACAAGCATCCCTCTGGTCGCCCCAAGACCTCCTCTGATTTCAGCAGCTACTTCAGCACGTTCTTCGGTTCAACTTTTCTCCAGCCACCAATTCTGCATCTTCACTTATTACTAACTCTTTCTATTCCGTGTTGCCTCCAACTTTGTTAGCTCGCAAGCACTTGGCATTTTCAACGGTCTCTTCTTGTCTGCGGCGCCTTTGTTAGTGGAGGGCAAGCAATGCCAGCCCCAAAGAAACCGTGCGTCCTTTTATAGAGAACACGGCAGCCATTAGGAACATGCAGGCTTGTCTGCGCAGTTTCTCCCTCAACCACAAGGGGGTGCTGGCCCTCAGGTGTTCTCGGATGCTCCAGATCAAAATTCTTTATTCTTCAGGTTCTCTGTCAAAGTGTTTTTTCAAAAATACTCTTGTCTCCCCAAATGCAATCATTCAATAATTCATTCCTCATTCGCTTTTTATTAATCTTAAGGCTATATGGACTCCCAATAAGGTCCTCAGCTCAGCAATGAACCGTTAGTTTTATCATACTGGGTCAGCACCGCGGCAGAGGGTAACAAATACTGCTTTGTTAGCCCGATTAGCACTGAAAGCTGAAACTAACTTACAGCCTCACCATCCCTGCCACCCTTCTCACAACCATCTCAAACAGCACATCTTCCTTTTCCGCAGTTTCGATTACCTGTCGTCACCTGCAGTCTGAAAATATTAAATAGAAAGTTCCAGAAATAAATAACCCTAAATTTTGAATATAGCATATTCTTGTAATTATTCTGCTTTGTTATTAGTTATTATTAGTCTCTTGGTGTGGGTAACTATGAATTAAACTATATATATGGTTTACATATGAACGTATATGGTTTAATGCATATTATATATTCATAATATACTATATAGTTTAATTCATAAATTATAAGTTTATATAAACTATTTATAATTTAATTTATAACAATTAATGTGTATCATATAAATACTTCCAATATATGTGTCATTCATACACATATACATATATATACAGAAACAAAATAT